ACAAAAATCCAAAGTGAGTGCATCCTCCAAAGCGACTGTAAAGACAAACGTTCATCTTCAATTCTTCCATTGTGCATGCGGGCTACTCAGTAGGCGGCGCCGGGGCCAGAAATGGACCCACTGTTACACTATTTTGGCCAACGCCTGTGATGAAACCATTGCGAACTGTTTGGCATTTACAGTTCTCTGATTCGTTGTGGACTATGACGTGAAAAAAAAATATTTTTCCCCCCAAAAAATTTTACTTTTTTTTTCCTAAAATATTAAAATTTTTTTCCCCGAAAAAAAAAGTTTTTTGAACAAAAGACAACTATCCGAATTACAAATGACCTCAGCAAAAATACAACCATATCTTTAAAGAAAAAAAATCTGACTTATTCCCATAACATTCATAAACATTTTTCTCAGAATTTTTTTTTTTAACTATAACATTATGAATCAAACCCAGCCGCTGGGGGGCAGTGCCCTCCCCTGGGGGTGCACTGTTCCCCAGTGCCGGTCCCAAGCCCGGAGAAATGGGGAGGGTTGCGTCAGGAATGGCATCCGGCGTAAAACTTTTGCCAAGACGACCATGCGAGTTGGTAGGACGGTTTACAGGGGCGGATGGAAATTACTGACTCGCTGTGGCGACCCCTGAATAGGGACGTGCCGAAAGGAGAAGAAGAAGAAGAAGATAACATTATGAATCACCTTTATTCTCAAAAAAATTTGGCTTATTTATTTCATCGAAAATTTGTCTCAATAATCTTGAAGAAAAATCTACTTTATTTTTGTAAGTAAGATTTAATTCTTGTAAAATTGTCTTTTTTTTAATTAAAACTTTAAAAAAGTAGTGTCATTCTTTGAAATTGATTATTTAATTTTTTGGTCTTTTCTTATTTCACAAAATAAAACAAAACGTTCTTCTTGAGGGACTCCAACTTTTTACCTGAGCAAATATGACCGCTTCCATGCACATTATTTCCACAATTTTTAATTTTTATTTTTTTGCCATACTTGCGTTCAACTTTTTCATGGAGCATTTTCTATTCAAAAAGAAAAACTTAACTCCAAGTGCTTTATATGTTCAGGAAAAAAAAAATCAGCCTGCTCCCCGAGATGTAGAAATCAATCCTAAATGCTAACGCTAAAGCGACTTGACAGCAACATACAGCATGACATTATCCCAGCTCATTGCATTATCTTCCAGACGTTTTCCATGAGTGGAACTCTTTCAATTGACGGCATCTGCTCGATCCTGCCAGCTTTCGCCGGCACTGAGCGTGCACACACACACACACACACACACACACACACACGCATGCACACACACACTCTCTCTCCAGCCAGTCTCTTTGGAAATAGATTTAGGACTTGAACGTAAGTGCGCCACAAAGCAGGAGAGCTAATGAGGCATTGTTGAGCTAGGTGTGAATGGTGGGATCCGTGCATGTTTATCTTTTTACCACATGGGGAGACAAATGAGGCTTTTTTTTTTTTTGGAAGGGGGGGGGCATTGGGATTTAGGCGGACTCGCCGTTGAGCCGTTGTCTTGGCCTCCATCCAGCCTCGAAATCCCCTCAGCAGAAGCCGTTGCGGCCACATCGCCGTCAAGTTCTCGCGGCAAAGGCGAAATTCATAAATGCATCAAGTCGAGCCGATGGCGGGCCTAACGGAAAACAGAAGCTTTCCAGGCCGGGTGGAGAAAAGTGGGGGGCGTGGTAAGAAATCGCGGGGGTGAGAGTCGGGCCCTCTCTTGTGGTCGCGTGACGACGAGTTGAGAGCAAACAAAAATGGCGGCCGCGCAATGAGGCAAGTGTGCCACGGTTGAAAGAAAAGCATCGCCAAGGTTTGACACAAAAGTCTCAGGGAGAAGCTGTTCATTCGTTGCTCCAAAGGGGCATCATTTTGGGCGAACTGTGCATTGCTAGCGTATCGGGTGCGCTATTGTGTTTTTCGGTAGTCTGTAACATGCTGGTTCTGGTTTTTGGGAATCTAAAATGACACCATTTTGTTCGCAAGTTAGCTTGAAAAAAAAAAATCTCTGTGCAACACATAATTTGAACAAAAGGTGCATTCCTAGCATACTGCGTGCATTATTGTTATTCTCAGCAAACTGTCACCCAACGACATGTTATTTAGCTCCAAAGTTACACAATTATCAGACCACACATCTCCAGATGGGTTGGAAAAAAAAAATCTTCATGCATGAAGCATTGCATGCGCGCCCACAACATTCTTAGCAAAATAGCCATCCCTATGGTCTCGGGTGTGCGATTGTTTTACTCAGCGGTCCGACACATGGCAAGCTAGCTTATTGATGTTTTTCCTCAGCAAACTGTTACACAATGGCACTTTTTTGGGGGGTATTTTTTATTTTTTTAAGCTCCAGTGTTACACAATTTTGATACACCACAAGTCAAGTTAGCTTGAAAAAAAACACCCTCATTGTCTACGCGATTCCTCTTGAGCTTTTGGATGCAGAAACGCGTAATTTTAGCCTAACACGCATCCCTTACTGAGTCGGTGTTTTATTGTTTTGTGCGGTGGCACTTTTTTTTTTTTTCTTTCTTTTTTTTGAAGCTCCAATGTTGCAAAATTTTGCGACCGCAGAAGTCGAGCAAGCTTAGAACAAAAGTATCCACATGACTTCAACTCTACGGGAACAACTTTAGCACAGCATGGATCGCTAATTCAAAAAGATGCGTGGGTGTGCTCTCGTTTTGGTCAGCAAACCGCGACACGGTGGATTCCCACCTCATCGCAGCTCGGGTGTGCGACTGTTTTCTCAACAATCAGTCACATTGTGGGACTGCTTTTTTTTTTTGGGCTCCAAAAGTTTTACCATTCACATTTCATAAGCCAGGCTAGCTTGACATTTCTCACACAAAGCCAGTCCAGATGTGTTGCCCTTGTCTCAACAATCAGTCATATGGTGCTGCTGCTACTGTTGTTGTTGTTGTTTTTTTTAAAATAATGCCAAAGTTGCACAACTGACACCTCATAAGTCAGCCCGGCATGGAATTTTTCACACAAGTCCAGCTCGGCTGCGCTACTATTTTTCCTCAGCAATCCGTCACATGGTGATGTTGTTTTCTAGCTATTGAGTAAAACGCTTTCAAAAGTCGACAAGTTGACTTCGCTTCAAACTTCGGACACCGAGACTCTTCCTCTTTGTCACATGGTGGCGCTGTTTTGTTTATTTATTTGTGTTCAGCGTGTACAGTTCTGACAACCAATGAAAACCGTCACGCTTGAAATTTCTCACAAAAGCCCAGTGTGACTTTTGGTACGAAATGTTAATAAAGCAAAATTTCTTTGCTTTCGAAATGTGACCTTTTGTGCTGACCTTTCGTCGAGTCATTGTCAAAACTTGAATGATATCGAAAAATGGCGCGCGTCTCACGTGTTCAGAGCCAAAGGCCACACCCCGAAATCCGCCTTTCAGTTGCTAAGCTAAGACCGGATATTTCTGAAAACAAGCTCGCTGCCTGAAGGGGCTATTTACGTCTCCAAAAGAATCACCATCCACTCGCTCCAGAAAAGTCAGGGGTGGGTGGTGGGGGGGGCTGAATTCTCCCCCACGGGGTGACGGGCGGCGGCCGCTGGGATTTTTGACGTTATTAGCTTCAGATGTCGGGCCACGGAGCGGCGGTGCGGCGGAAAGAACATCGGCCATCATCGCAAACGACGTGGCCCATCTGGAGCGCACATAACATCATCAAGTTGGGGTCAGCGGTTTTTTTTTTGGGTAGGGGGGCAATGGGGGACGGGCAGATGGAGACCTTTTCTTTGGAAACCTAATCTGCTGAGTTGGCGAGATAAGATGCAAAGTGAACATGGTGTCTTTTAAAATCTGCTCTAAAGGATGCAAATGGCTCCGATGGCGCTTTGTTGTTTCCAGTCCCCGCTTGTCACATCAGTTTTTCTCGCTTACACACACCTACTGTATCTATACATACACACACACACACACACACACTCTGGACCCAACGTGCCCATATGAGCCTGTGCTATTTGCAGCCCCCTTAAATATTCAGCACCTGCCGTGTTCCCCCACTCGTCTTTGATCAGCCTCCGATTCCACTGCGCCCGCTTTTATGTGCAGGCATCAAACCGGCGCAACCCGCGCTCTGCGCCTGCCCCCCCTACTCGCGCTCGTTTCCTCTCCCCGGGCTGCTGGCCATGGGCAGCTCCACAACAGGCAACTTGTGTCCGCACCAGGGCGAGGAGGAGCTGAGGATATAGTCCAGCATGTGTCCAGTCCTCATTAGTGTGTCAGTGTGTGCCGCACCAAATCGCAATCCCAAATTCATCTTCACAGTCGCAACCCCACCAGGGGGTGGGGCGGGGGGGTGAAAGTTACCACCTGCAAGCGGCATGGAGAAAAGCCCTCCGCACCATGCCGCTTCCCTGAAACTTCCGCTGCGGCCAGTTTTTAGATAAAAATATATTTAATCACACCGAACATCACTTTTCAATGCTTAGCTGTGTGTTTCATTCGACTCTGAAAATCGAATTTTCCCAGTCCAAACTGGACGCCAGTCAACAAACAAAAAAAGACGAAACAAACAAACAGGCCACCGCATCGCGTCAGCGGGCTCCGCCTGCAACGGAGCGTCGCACCCTCGCTGCAGGAGGGCCGGTTAGGAGGAACGGAGCACCCCCCGGTTAGGGGGGGGCGGCGATCAGTGGATGTGACCCAGGCTGCGCGATACGAAGTTCCCCCCCGCGCGATAAAAGAGCACAAAGTCGGACTTGTGTGTCATCGACGAGCCGCGCAGCTACTCGGGAATCAGTTTCGTTGGGGAGAGTCGCGGGTGAAGTGAAAGTTTCAATTAAACTAAAAAAAAAAAGCTTCAAGTTATTTTGCCGATGATCCCGAACGAGGTCTTTTTGTTACACAAGCCCGATGATGAGACTTACCCCCCACCCCCCACCCCGGCAGCAGCGCGTAATCATAACGCCAGGCCTGACCGACGCGAGCACACACAAACAAAGCCGAAACGAGAGCGTCTCACCTGGGCACGGCGGGGGGGAGCCGCGGCGGCGGGGACGTCAGGCTGGAAGAGAAGCGGGCGGGGAGAGTATCCGATTGAGAGCGGCCGACGTCGGCCGCGCGTCCGCAGCAACTGCGTCCTCGCTGTGCGGATGACACGGAGGCTGAGGGGACGCCAGCCGCCCATTGGCTGTCGAGTCCCCGGCACCAGGCGGCGGGGAGAGAGGGGGTGACTGAAAGAGGGATGGAGGAAGAGGAGGAGGAGGAGGCGGAGGGGGAAGAGAAGGGACGGGGGGAGGGAGAGAAAAAAAAATGACGGCGTTCCAAGTTGAACGCGACTTTCGCTCTCATTTCATGTGTTCCTGAGAAGCAACAAGCCACTTGCTAAATGTCACCAGTCTCTTTTCTTTCTCTCACGTGTGTATTTTTCTTGAATTCCTCTCGTATAATCAGTTGGGTCAAAACATTTGCAATTAAAAAAAAAAACACTCAAAAGACGCAAGTCCTTTAATTTTGTTAGTTGTGGGTTGTTTTTTTTTTTTTAATTTGAAACCTACAAAAAGTAATGGTTTTTCATTGGGGACAGTAATTTGTACTATTTTGGATGCTCGTGTCAAGATTTGTGCTTGTTTGGATTATATTTAGCCGTGTGTGTCCTTTGGATTTTGTTTCCACCTGTGCTGGTAAAGCTGGTTTCTTTGTTACTTGCCTTTGTTGTTGTTGTTTTTGGTAACTTTGTTGCTATTGTATTTCGAGCTTTCCCTTGTGAAGAAATTGACACCCTGCATCCCTGCCCGCCTGCGTTTGGGTCCTTCACCCAACATGACCGTGACAGTTAATGTTTTCATGATATTTGTTTGTTCCACAACACGAGGAAACGGCCACCAAAAAAATCAGCACAGATTACGATCTTTCCCTGTAGCTTGATTGAATCGAACCAATTAAAGTGCTCCACTAACTTTTATTGAGCAGCTTGTTTCAGTTATGGATGGCATTCCTCAGGGTTGCCTACTCGGACTCCTTTGGTTTGACCAATTTCGCCACTTTGCAATCGCCGCGGGTCAATGTCTTTGTTTGCGTCTTTAGCGATGTTTACAGTCAGGCTGCTTTCATTTCGGGAGGCCGATGACGGGGGTGACGAGGCACGGGTGTGCCGGCCAGAAATCAGATTAGCGACCCAACATGTAAACTGCTGGGTTAGAGAGTAATCAAACTAATGCAGCTCATCACTGCTTCATCCAGTGCGCTGCCTCCACCAGATTACTGCCCTCTAATCTCTTGTGTGTGTGTGTGTGTGTGTGTGTGTGTGTGTGTGTGTGTGTGTGTGTGTGTGTGTGTGTGTGTGTGTGTGTGTGTGCGTGCGTGCGTGCGTGTGGACATATACATGTAATGAACTCTTAAGCGCTCTCTTAGTGGACTAGAAATAAAATGTTTATGAGCGGAACAAGTTGTGGATGGAAATGAGGTTGGGGGGAGTATTGTGATGTTTTCAACAATCGACCACGTGCGACCTCAACGATTGCTGCTGTGCGGGAGAACTGTTTTGCGACGCAGATATGGAGCTGCGAAATTTGACAAGGAAAAGAAAACGTAACATTTTGCTGTTAGCCACATAAATTGGACCCACATTTAATAATACACAAGTGATTGTATTTTTTTTTTTTTAATGAAATTATCAAATGTAATTTCACCCGATGGGAAGCGCAGATATCTGCGGCGGGGATCAGACGGCGTAGGTGTGATTCCTTTGGAAAGTGTTGCTTCCCGATGACAAGATAAGGAATGCTATTATCACAAGAAAGCAAAGTCATTAAGTTGTGTTACGTGTGGCATAATGAAGTCGAGATTTAGAGATGCGCGGCGACAACTTACTTCATTGACTGCACAGATAGGGAAGATCATTTTTCCGCAAGTCGGCCGGGGGGGAAGTTTCGGGGAGCGGACCTCCGCCAAGGCTTCGGCATTCTCGCCAGTGATTTTGTGGTTCAGTGTTTTTCTGTACATTGGCACTCGATGAATGAAATCTGGATCAAAATTAGTTTGGCATCGCAGCGTCTGAATGACCGAGCAAAATGATCTTTCCCGATGGAAAGTCAAGCGTTCAATTCTGAATCCTTATTTGGATGAGGAAATTCCCTTGTTGAAGTGTGCACAGGTTGAAGCGGTTTAAATTCTGGACAATGGCACTAGGTGGTTGAAACCGAATTGAATCCGGATCAAAATCAGCTTGACAGCACAGCGTGAATGACTCAGCTAAACGATCTTCGGTATCTCTTTCCCGTTGGAAAGTCAAGTTTTCAATTCTGAATCCGATCTGGATGAAAAAAATTCAGTTATTTTCAAGTGTGAGCAGTCTGAACCGGTTTAACTTTTTTTCTGGACAATGCCACTCGGTGATTGACACCAAATTGAATCTGGATCTAATTTTGGTTGACATAACAGCATCAAAACAACAACAAAAATAATTCGGACTTTCATTCAAATTCCCGTGGGAAAACAAATCTTCATCCTAACGGGGATTTCCCATGGTAACCCTCAAGTAAATGTTCCATTCTGGATCCGATCTGGATTGCGAGTCATGTTGTGAAGCGCGAGGCGTGTCGTGTCCTGACAAATGAGGTCAAAAGTTAACGTTGATCGCCGGTATCTTGACTTTCATACCTGGAACATTTGGAATCTCTCCAAGCGAGCACTTAGCCAGCATCAACGTCAGGAGAATCAGCCTCCGAAGACGACAACCCCGACACGCGACGGCCGCGCGGTGACTCAGACGACGGGAACGCCTGACCAGAGTTCAAGGCCGCTTCCCGTTGGAGGGAATTTTGGGCCCGATCCGGATCGGCGGCGAACAATAAACACAACCCACAATCAAATTGTCCCACGTGAAATCATGTAAACACAAAGAGTCTTTTCCCAGGGTCACACTGTCACCATTTTTCATCTTTTATTAACTGCGCAGGCCGTGTTTTAACCTTCCCATTGTGTTTGTTTCTTAGCAACGGCACTCTTGGGTCAGTGGAACCTGCTCTAAACTCCTCCGCCCCCCTCCCCCCAAAATAGAACATGGAAATTAAATTTCTATAACCTTCATTTTATAAAGGACATAAATAAGGTTACTACCCTCACGAGGGACTCAACAAAATCGTTTCCATCATCCAAAACAATACAATGTTTTACTTTTGGGTAAAAACCAAAACATTCAAGTAATTAAATAAATTTGGAATTAAATCAGTAATTAAATAAATTCATCATTTTAGTTCTAATTTAATCAAGATATTTTTTTGAATTAAAAATAAATTCCTAAAACATTTGAGTCCAAATAAATGGACTGATCCAGTACTTGGGTCAATTTGACCCCCCGCCCCCCAAAAAAGGGTCATTTTGGACTAAACAACCCTGAAAGTTCAGTCAAATTGACCCAAGTAGCGGGTTGGTCAATTTATTTCACTTAAATTGGGTTATTTTTGACCCACTGTTTTTTAGAGTGCATTTCTCATGCAAGTGTAAAAAGAAGTTCACCACATCAGGGATCACTCACAGCCACACTTTAGCCAGTGAAAGTGTTCAGGCGCCCAACCCAAATGTCTAAATTGGAAGTCCACAACACACGTGAGACGTTTTGTTTTGTAGACTTTCACCGTTTTTCTTCCCCGGCTGCGTTCTTGGGGGAATGTTGTATTATTCTGGTGTTCCACTTTATCTCTCAGACGCTGCCCGGGGGGACACGAAGGAAGAGGTTTGGTCGGCGACGGCCTCCGTGTGACCCCCGCGGCACAATTGGGTCGCCTGTCGCGAGCGGCGTTATTGATGATGACCTCAGAATGTACATGCGACATAAACGCCCGGCCGTCTTTGTAAAATCTCAGCCTGAGATTCGGCTGTGACTAAAAACTCAAGAACTTGTCTTGAAATGTGAGCTGGTGTGAGATGATAGATTCCCCCCCCCCCCAAATCTTCTCCACGTCTTCTGATGTAGCAGTAGCTGGACAAAAGCGTCCTTGCGGTTCCCCAGACATGATGTCAGGGTCAAAAGTAGCGTATCTAATGCAAGCCCTCCCCTAGAAAGAAGGAAAAAAAAAGGCTAACTGGGTTTGGTTCTGCCCGCTTTTATCTCCATCATCCATCATCAGGCAGCTCGTAGGAAAATATCATCCCCCTCACTGTGTTGAGCAACTCGTGATTTTGCCGACCCCGGAGGGGTGGGGAGGACAAAGGCTTTTTTTATTTGGTGGTTGTTTTTGGTGGGTTTTTATTTTAGCTAGCTTCATTTTCTGCGTATCGAGGTCAAACCTGCAAGCGATACTTGTGACCATCAGCTGTTGAGGCGGGAAAAACACAGCGGCGATTCAAGCGACGTCGCTTTGGGGAAACGCGGAGGAGATGACGCAGCTTTTTTTTTGGGGGGGTGGGGAGGATGTTTGCGGTGATCCGCGTTGGCGTTCCCGGCCGCGTATCGATCTCTAAGCGGTTTGTTTGTAGCACGGGGCCGGCCGCGTTTTGAAGGTGCTCCTATCGATTGTTTCCGCGTCCGTCTCGAAGTCTTCCAATTAAGCGCGTCATAAAGTCAGTCGCATTCATCACGCGCTTAATGAGACCTCATTAAAAAAAATAGTCTCCTGGAAAAGTACTTGTCCCTCAATGTGACTTCACGAAATGAGCCTTTAGCATGTTTCAAACCCTGCCTGTCCCAAAAGTTTGATTTGACAACCCTAACCTCTGTTTGAAAACTATTTTATTTTATTTTTTTTAAACGGTAATTCTTGTGTGAAATCCTAACTTGTTATTAAAACCAACCCTAACCTTTGCCGATTGAAACCCCAACCCTGTCTGGAAATGGCTAAAAACCTTATTTGGAATTAGCTTCGCAAATGTCAAAGCCTTCAGTCGCAGCAGATTTAAAACGCTATCTTGAAAACTGAACCTGAATTGAAAAAAAAATGCTAATTTGAAACCCATAAAGCAGGCTTTGGAACCAAAACCCCAATTTAAACCCAAAATTTGAAACCTTAATCTTGGCTTGAAAGCCAATACTCGCAACCCTATTTTGAAATTCTGACCCTGCTTCAAACTTGAACCCGACTTGCAACCCAAAACCCGACTTGCAACTCTCAACTCAAATACTCGTTTTGAAACCCCGATCCTGCCTTGAAACCCTAATTTGAGAGCTGAGCCCTGTGATCAAAGCCCTACTTCGATGAATTCAACTTTGGGACTCCTCCGCAG